TTTGTTGCGATCATCCAACAGGGCACTACGAGGTAGGCGTATGGCAGGGTGTCTCTCCAAAAAAAGTTTCTACAATGTAACAGCACCTGAAAGGACGGTTACAGTAAATGGAAGAGGCATTTGTTGTAACCCCTCTTAATTGTTGACAAGAAAATCACGAGCCTGTGCGCTAAGTAACTTCTTAAATATAGCAGCCTTGAACAGCTGAAAATTAAAACCTGAATCTGTACATTCAAATGTTCATATCATTGAGCCAGTCGTAGCTAGATAAACAATGGGAAGTTGATAAAAACGATTTATCCGTCCTCGAATGAAGAGATGGACATCCTCAGAAAGAACTGATTGACAGTGGCTGGGAGGCTCAATGGACTACCTGCAAATTAAGTCAATGAACCAGTCAGCAATCATACGAAAAAGAAATCTTTTTGAGCCCCGCAACGAAAAGATCGGAAAAATGGAGCTTATTCTGAACACGTCTTGTTAAACGAAAACACCAAGAAAAAAAAACAAAAATTGAAAAGAATGCGTATCCCATATGCGGTCATGATAAATTTTCGTCTGTTGATTAATAAAAGAGCAGATTTGAGAAATTGATTCGAAAGATTAAGATGGACAAGTTATTTGTCCCGGGTCGAGATCCCGCTCAAAAACCGCTCAAGATTTGAGCAGTTTGAGCGGTTTACCAGCAAACCTTGAGCGGTTTGGGCTGTTTGGGCGGCTTCTTTGGAAAAACCGCTCAAACCGCTCAAATCTTGCTTAAAAAACCGATCAAAAACCGCTCATTTCTTGGGTAGTTTTTGAACGGTTTTTCATTCAAGATTTGAGCGGTTTTTAAGCGGTTTCTGAGCGGTCTTATAAAAAAAACCGAATAAAAAACCATCAAATGGCTTGGAAAAACCATCAAAAGGCCTGAAATTGCTTTAAAAGTTTCCAGTTGAAATCTACGGTAATTTTTCCTGTAGTCAGCAGATTTGGTCCAGGTTATCCAGGCGTATGATATCCAGCTGATGAGGAGGAGGGTCAAACTTCCTAAAAATCTGACTGACAACTACGTGGTCAACTGCATCTCAGCAATCAGACGAGAAACAGACGACGAATCCCTGAGGTTAACTTAGTTCACATACAACTGAAGAAATGTTATTAGAGGTTAATATTTACCACAAAATACTCAAGAACTGAAAAAAAAAGACATTCGCCGCCTGGTTTTGAAACTGAATGGAGTTGTAGTTTTTTAAAGGAGTCTGCTAAATGATTTCCTTTGTAAATCGTACCCGGGGTCTTTCGCCTTCTTTGGGGTCCTAGACTACGCAGAACGCACACAAGTGTTATGCATAAAGTAAACTCCTGGCTGAGGTGCTCGACTCATGATTCGACCGAAATGGTCAAACGATGTCGTTTTTGACTTTGTTCGAATTTACGGGACTTTATTCGACTTTGTTCGACTTTGCTCGACTTTGCTCGACTTTGTTCGACTCTACCGGACATTGTTCGACTTTGTTCGACTTTACCGGACCTTTTTCGACTTTGTTCGATTTTATCGGAACTTTTTTGCTTTTACCGGGAATTAGCTTTGTGTAGGCCTTCTCGTGTCGGTCCTGTTGATGATTAGCAAATATGTTGATCTACCTAACTGCACATTAAAAATACATATATACTGAAGGATTTTGCAATCCGCATCTATATAACGCTTATGCAAGCAAAAACACCGACAACAATTCCATTACTTGAGCTTTGCGCGACCCATGTTGCGACTTTGCGCGACGCATGTTGCGACTTTTGCGCGACCCATGTTGCGATTTGCGCGACCCAAATTTATGCTGCGACTCTGTGCGACCCAAATTCCGACTCATGATTCGACAGTGTTTGACCCATGATTCGACTTTGTTCGACTATAGTGTTCGTTCGACCGTCTTAATTTGCCACGAAAATCGGACTCCGTTCGACCGTGTCGGTCGAATCATGAGTCGAACACCTCAGCCCGCTGTCTTCTCGAGAACGAATCCCAATTTGACATTGTTCGCCTTTTTTGAAGCAAGATTTGAGCGGTTTTTTTTAGATGATTGTGCTCAAAATCTTGCTTCAAAATGAGCGATTTTTGAGCGAATTTACAAAAAAAAACGCTTAAGATTTTAGCGGTTTGAGCGGGTTTTTTAGACAATTACGCTCAAAATTTTGCTTCAAAATGAGCGGTTTGACCGATTTTTGAACGATTTATCTATGAAAACCGCTCAAAAACCACGCAAGATTTGAACGGTTTTGAGCGGTTTACCTAAAAAAACTGCGCAAGATTTGAGCGGTTTTTCTAGATAAACCGCTCAAATCTTGCGCGGTTTTTGAGTGTTTTTCTTTTAGATAAACCGCTAAAAACCGTTCAAATCCTGCGCGGTTTTTGAGCGGTTTTTTTTAGATAAACCGTTCAAAAACCGCTCAAACCGCTCATTTTGAAGCAAGATTTTGAGCTTAATTGTCTAAAAAACCGCTCAAACCGTTCAAATCTTGCTTCAAATTAGGTGAAAAATCTCGACTCGGGTAAGAAAATTTAAAATTTTTTATGATGTAATATATCTGTTAATTGCGAGATAATTTTATTCGTGATGACTCCGTTCACATTAATCGACCTGGACAAAGATTTGAAAAACATTCAAAACTTCATTTTAAATTGAATTCATCAACAACATCTTGAACAAGTTGCTACACAAAAGGAGCTTTAGAATTGATATTTTAAAAAATTAGCAGAAAGCTGAGTTTAAATAAAATCGAATCACACAAATAAATCGACAAAAACAAACTAACAGACGATTAGTCGAAAAACCCAAAAAATTAGAGCATGAAAAAAAATCAGAATTTTTCGAACCAGGGGTTTTTGTCGTCTTAAACAGGTGGGTTCTTTCGCCCAATTTGCCGGAAAATTGATTGATTTTGATTTTATTATACGGCAAATTAAAACACGTGAGGTAATTCTGTGTGCAAAACTTTGGAGCAAAATTATTGGCTTGAGAAAAACTAAGCGCCAGTTGGCAACACCCTTTATAATCAAAACAGTGGAAAAATAAACATGGAGAAAAAATTGTTTTCCATGAAAATGAGTGAAGTAGCGAATGATCAGAAGAACAAGACAAAAATGAGAAAAAAATTATGCATTTGAATGGTTTTTCATCCAGTCCAAATAACACAATTTTTACCATTGAGCACCCAAATTTCACGAACTCGAGCTCAAAATTGTGTCATACAAAAGTTTGAACCCTGTAAAACTCGTCAAAAACAGAAGTAAAACTCGTCAGAAGTAAAATTGGGCTAAATAATTTAAGCTCATTGGGCCAAAAAGCAACTTAAGTTCATTGTAAAAACACGCCAAGTTCAAAAAAATAGCAAGAAAAAAGTAGACCAAATTGGCCCGAATTTTTTTTTCAATTATTTTCAATTAAACAAGTAATTTCCAACAATTTTCAAACTCTCAATCAGCAATTTATCTCAATCAGGAAAAGGCTCCTCATGCAAAAAAAATAGCCAAATACACAATGCCAAATATATATATATTTTTTAAAATTGTAAACAACATCATTCAAGTGTCATTCAAAAACATTTTTTAAGACCTGTCAAGATATTTATTTGTATAGCGTGCTAACTAACCAGAGCAGAAATATATACTAAAAACTAACTAACCAGAGCAGAAAAATATACTAAAAACTAAAAACAGATTCATTCGTAATCGGAAATGCGAATGCTCAAATTTCAAAAAAGTTCGTATACAAGTATATATAAGAGTGTTTGAAAAATACTCGTTATGCATTTTTCTTCACGTTATAGGTTGTGTTCGCCTGTAAGACTATTATAAATCCCGCAAATTATCATATCTTTAAAAATCTTGTGAAAAGGGCTATCTTGAAAGGAGGTTATCTTGCAAGTTTCTGCAAGAGTCTTGCAAGATAGTTAATAAAGATGCATAGTTTTCAAAATCTTTTTTTTTGAAGTGTAAGTCAAAAACTCAGCTGGGCAATATTAGTGCTTGAAGCCTAACCTAGATACGAAAAACCAGAAAAACATTTGCTTTTGTTCAAGATAACTGTGAGCAAGTATAAACGTTACCGATTTTTCAATAAAAACTTGTTTGGTTTTGGGCTTAACTTTCAAAATCTGTAAAAAACGTATCAAGAGTTGACAAATATTTTTTTTCTGTGATTTGATTCATTGCCATATATTGTGGCCTCATTCTCAAACGCATTTAGATATAAACAAAACTGCTCGTATCAGGGCAAAGCCTTGAATGTTCCGACTGCCTTTTAAGGTTTATGGAGCAGTAATAATTTTAAAAAATTAAATGTAATAAAATAAAATAAAAACTTTTTTATATGAAAATTTTTTAATGAAATCATCCCCCACACGCCATATAAAGTACAAAAGGAAGGATTTCGCTCAATGTAACAAATCAATTATAATAATTAAGCTTCTTTTAACCAATTTGCAACGATTTCTAAGACGGATTAACTCTCCGCTTACACGTTAATACCGCGAAATATCGCGCGTTATTTTTACCAAACTGGCCAAAATGGCAATCTTTGAGCCCCCATAACTTGACGAAAAATGATTACAGGTGAAACATCTTTTCAAATTTAAGCTCAACTCAACAATACATTTTGAATGATATAAAAGAAATCCGTCAAAAATGGCTTGTTAAAACGTCGAAATTTGTCTGAAGAAAAAAACCCACTTCGAGCTCAAACATTCCGTTACCTTCGTATCGAAAGTCGGAACAATGGCTTTTCGATCGTCATTTAAAGCCATTTCAGGTATCAAACATTTCAGACCTGACAAGATAATCATATGCATAGCGTGCAAACTAACCAGAACAGGAATATATAGGGCCTGCTAGCTAATAAAAATATTCATTTGTATCGGAATGGCGGATGCTCAAATTTCAAAAAAGATATGTCCAGTGATTAGATTTTGCTAAGTGATTTGATAAAGCAACTTACTTTTGTATTTGAATGCGTAACATCATGTTACCAGTTTCTCGTGCTTTATTCATTGCAATTGTATTATAAATTACAAGAATGAGTAGACTTACTTACAAAACATTACCAACGTTAATTTAACATACACATAAAAATGCGCAGTATACTTAAAAAACCAAACGTAACTTTTTTCGACAACGGCAATACTAATAATGGTAACACCAACAACAATTACAACAACACGCCGGCTGGAAACCCTCTCAAAATCAGCTCCGACTCCCTCGACCACTTCAACTTGTCAGCGGCTAGAGGTCAAATGAGAGGTCAGCAACAGCAACAACAACAACCTTCAACTCTGCCCTATCTTCAGACAAGTCCCCCCAATTATGAGCAGTCTTTTGAAATGCAACCCCCTGCAGTTAGGAGTTTAGTAGACCAAAACTTCTCGTCTGGAAATGCTGCCGTTTTAAGGTAAATCATCTGAAAGAAACAAAAATCATTTCCTTATCTTTTCCAGACTATCCAGAATTTTTCACAAATTTGGTGGTCAAAAATTTAAATGTTTTGATTACCAATAAGGCTTTAAAGGAAAACCATTCATTAAAATCTAGGTTATAATTACATGCCGTTCTCGTATATGGGGACTTAAACATGTGTTGGGGTAAGTTGCTTTTTGCAAAAAAAGTGCGCTAGGGTAGGTTATTTTTTGCACTTTTTAGAAAATTAAAAAGGGAGCTACAAGAAAGTTGAATGTGATCTTACTAAATCCTTTCGCGTCGTGATTCGGATTCCTAAAACTGATTCTAAAATAATGCGTGAAGATTATTTTTTATCGGATTTTTTTTACAGAATTTTGTTATTCTGCTAACCTGGATAATGGACTAGGTAATCCTTGCCATTTTTTAAACATTATTTCAAGCATTATAACCGACCCAATCGATAAAGTTGAACTGCAAACCTTTCCAGGACTCAAGAAAATGGCAGAAATTGAAAAAATTATTAGATTCTTTTCGTTGCCATTTTTTGCAACAAACAATGTGCCAATTGCAAAGCAACCGGGTCTGAATTTTTGTTTCAAGAATCTAACGATTAGCAACGAGGGTTAAACTGTTAGCATTAATTTAAAACACTGAACTATCAACTCAAACTATTCATCTCTTAGACGGCAACTAAAAAGGTAACAAAAACAGTAGCACCAGCTTCTTGTCACATCTCAAAGTCTGCTTCCTTTTTCATTTGGAGGATTTTTTCTTCTCAAATTTTCCTTCTTAATTTTCTTCTCAACATGACTTATTACAACTTCTATTTTTTTACTCTTTCGTCTCATTGTATCTTACATCAAGACTTAGGCGCTTCAAAAAATTGCAGTTTGTTTGGTTTCATCAAGCAACAAGATTAGAAAAACTGTGATTGTTGTAAAATTTTGTTTTAGGTTAAAAAAAGGCTCATTAATTACGCCTTGGGTTCACTAAGATGCACTTACAAGTACTATCCAAATGCATCGATAGATATCTTTTGCAAAAACAGTTGAAATTTTTTTCAAATAAATTTTTTTTTGCAATTAACAATTCCTAACTGAAGCTCAGATGATTCATTCTTCAATTTTTTAAAATTATTTTTGAACCTCTACCAACGTCCAATTTAAAAAAATTGTATCTTCAGAAACTTAAGCATGACAAATCCAGACTGTGCATTGGATAGGCGCGCCGCTTAGAATTGCACATAAATCCATGGAGTCCGCGCACAATCAGTTTGTTAAGTATATTATATCGGCAGAAGTTGTTCTGGATTCTGCAAATGTCTGCAAATTCCGTAACTATGTTTATTACGCAGAGTTAAATTAGTTCTAGAGTAAACAACTAGGAGCTATAGCTACAATGTATATCTTGCAGTAGCATAATTCATAGTCAAGGACAACCATTGTCAGCGGATTCCAATGCCAAACCTCAAAACCTTACATCTATCTCTTTAGTGATTGAGATCAAATTCCCAGCAAGTTTTTTTTCTTGAAGTTAATGCAGATTCTAAAATTTTTGATAATTTGTAAATTACGTCTTAGTTACCTAAACAGCTGTATCCCCCTCAACATTTTTTGGATCACAAAATAAATTAATTTTTGACCTTTCAGCTTTTTGAAAACGTAAGCGGTGAAGATAAAGTCACTTATTCAGTAGCTTAGACAAAATGAGCATTTCAAAATTTGAGAAATAAGACCATTTCAGTGTTTGAGATAAAATGCTGTTTCAGCTTTGTAAATTTATGGGATAACCTGTTTGAGAGAACACTTCAGTTACGGTATCTCGTCTTTCATATACTTAAAGGCCATTTAATGTTATTGCTTTACATCTCAATTGCTTTTATGGCAATTTTTATTCGAATTATGATTGATATTAACTTTTAAGCGAACTTTTGAGAGCATTTTTTTTTTCCAAATAGCCAATTGTGACTTTATAATATTTTCCAATGATGATTTTTATCCTAAATGTTGACGCTAGTTTTTATTATAAATACTGATAAATAGAGACAAGACTGCTCGTATCAGGGCAAAGCCCTGAATGTTCCGACTGCCTTTTAAGGTTTATGGAGCAGTAATAACATTAAAAAATTAAATGTAAGAAAAATTAAAATGAAAAAAAATTTTCTCTAAAATGTGAATTTTTTTTTGAAAATCATCCCCCCACACGCCATAAAAAATACAAAAGGATAGATTTTGCTCCTTGTAACAAACCAATTATGGCAAATAAGCTTCTTTTAACCAATTTGGAACGATTTTTAAGACGGATATCAACTCTCCGCTTACGCGTTAATAGCGCGAAATATATCGCGCGTTAATTGTCTCAAATTGGCCAAAATGGCAATCTTTAAACCCCCATAACCTTATGAAAAATGATCACAGGTGGAATATCTTTTCAAATTTGAGCTCAGGACAACAATACCTTTCGAATGATATAAAAAAAATTCCGTCAAAAATGGCTAGTTAAAAAGTCGACATTTGTCTGAAGAAAAAAAAAACCCACCCCGAGCACAAATATTCCGTTACTTTTGTATCGAAAGTCGGAACAATAAGAGTCACTCACGATAAAAGTTGGCTCGAGATAAAATAATTTGTTAGGGTCCAGAAAAAAACTATCTGTTTTACCAGCATAATTGTTAATACTTAAATAAGTAACTAAATGTAACTAGATTTCGCAATCAAAACACGGATTGCGCTAACAGTTCCGGATTCCTCCTACAATTGCGAATTTCACCACAACTCAAAAGTGTTATGCCCATATTTTTTGTTCGTGGAATCAACAAATTGCTCTAAATTCCGCAGATATTGTTGCGGATTCTACAAGTTCCGTTGTTTTGAAACAATTTTGAGCAATACATTTTTTTACTACCTATAGGCTAATAGAATCCATTATATCAAAAAAAAACCGTAAAGCAGAAATGCGACAAATTCGTAATCAACTCGATGCGCAATCTGCTTAAAATCCACAAAATACACAGCATGGACGCGTCATTATTTTTATTAAGACGCACCCAAACAAATCAAACCAACGAAACAAAGAGATCATGGTCAATTTTAACTAACAGATTAAATCAGCGGCCAAATTTAACTATAAAAACAAAACGGTTGGAGTTCATGATAGATTAAATACATCTTACTCATTACTCATAACTACTTTTTGAGAATCTATGATGTTTTTGCAACTGCTTGCCATATGCATGTGTGTTCATTGAAAATTTTTGGCAAAAAATCATTGGTTGAGCAACTCCGAACTGAAAACCTGATGATTTCATTGCTGATCGCATTCTTATTAAGTTAGCTTAGAGTCTTGACCGTAGTGTTGACTGTTGTCCGCCGTCTATTTCTGTATCCTTCTACCTGCAAAATTGAGTTTTAATAACTATTATGACTTTTGTAATCAACCCATTTAGTTCTGCTTTCAGTTATGATCAGAAAGAGCACCCTTTCATCTTTCCTTCTCCTGCCTCATCCTCTGTGGCCCCCACGATCCACAATTCAGACAGCTCCTCTGCGACCACAATGCCGACTATCTACAATGCCAAGTGGAAGGATGGAATGTTAGATGCATACAGACAGCAGATTGGACAGTTGAGTGGGGCGATGGCACAGTTGCAGCAACAGAACCAAATGAGGTGTTGTGATAGAGTTCGGATCTTTCCTGTTATACGGTCCAAAATTACCACATTTTACATAGAGCTTCTCTTTTTTTTAAAACTACAAACAAAGTTCCTTTTCGCTTAACTTAGTTTCAACCAACCAGTTTCGAGCATTATGATCATTTTTTACCAAATATTAAAACGAGCAGTTTTGGGCCATATAATAGAAAAGACCCTAAAGGGGGGGGGGGGGGGTCTGGTATCACAATAATCATTATAATAGTATAGTAGCTTAGAACAATTTTCGACGCTGGTAACAAAATTTTCAGTTCGTTCACGCTTAGATTGGGTCCCTGAGTTGTATACATATAAATGCCTTTGAGATCTGCTTTTACAATATTCACTATATTGGTCAATCACGAATCAATAATAGCGAACAGAGAAACGTCGGTTCTTGAAAAAGGCTTCTTTTGAGCTGAGTTTTTATTCAATCGGTTGGGTTATTCGATTCGGATCTATAAAAGGCCGGTATATCTTTCTCGGGTATGGGGACAACTATAACAGTTGCATCGCTTGAAAATCGATTGGGTCGAGGTTTGGGCTTTTCTTTTTGACTAAAATGGTCTTGTCAGATGTCATAGCGCGCGACAAAAAGCCGTAGTCACGTTTGACCTTTCGTCAACCTGAGCCAAAAGACTTCAACAGAATCCAATAACTTTGTAACAAATGAACGAATTCAAGAAAAAAAATATGCTGATGTTTCCGACCATTTGTATGTTATATTGTTGTTCAAATTACTTCTTGAAGTGTGGGCTTTTTGGCCCCCAATTTTATATAACTCAGCTAAAGCTCGTCTGGGATCAAAATCACGAGCCATTTTGGTCGTGATTTTGATTCCGAAAAAAGTTCAATAAACTTGACTCAATTTCGAGAAAATCTGGTATGGAATTTCACGGTTTTCAGACTACACGAAACGAGAGCTTGTAAGAGACCACCAATCTAATTGTACTGCAATTTTGACCTAATTTTAACCAGACGCAGAGTTTAGGGGAGGGGACGGTAAGAACGCTTTGAAAAGCTTTGAAGCTCAGTTCTTTGAAAAATTTGATCAGTTTCAAGATTTAAAAAAACTGGTGACTTTCCACACCCTTCCCCCCAACCCACAAACACATACTTTTGATTTGAAAAAAAAAACAATTTTAAGGTTGACATGACGTGATGAAATTTCGCTGTATGAACTATCCTTATAGCCTTTCTGAACACAATTGTTTTCAATAACTTGCATGCGAAAAGGGATGTAAGGGGGGGGGGTAAACATTTTCTTGTCATACGCACGATTCATGTAACAATGAAAATGATGCAAGATGAAAAAAGCAATGAAAATATTATAAATTAAAAGTGTCAATATTTAGTCTGAAGATGGAGGCGGAGAAGAGTAGTGGGAACAGTAGTCAGTTGCAGGAACTGGTGGACGGACAGAAGCGCATGTTCGACATGTACTGGGAACTAGCCAAGGTCAGCAAGCTCAATGAGTCATAATTGACTCATATTTGATAATGATATAGATTGTTTTAGAAAATGTATGTAAGAATCCATATTTTATATTAGCTCAAAAACTTAGAAAATAATTAAGTACGAAGAATCCTATGTATAACTAAACAAGAAAAAAGCATTTTGATCTTTGGCTCTTTCTCATTTAGCTTTTTTGGATAGCTTATAACGAGTAGTGCAATAATTATGTGGCACTTACGATAAGTGATGAATTGTCAACATAAATTAGGAAGAACGCCATTTTTTAGCTGGTGTATTCACACTTGTTCAAATTTATTTGATCGAAGTCATGATCTTCTTCTTCTTGAAATTTTTCGGAAATTGAGTTAAAGTGTTAACCGGGCCGAGGTACGCGACTTAACACCCGAAATCAGTAAGGTTGAATGTCGCGACCCAAAAAAAAGATCAGTCACAACTTTTCGGGAGCCGAAAATTCGGCGAGACTTTGCGGATCCCTAAAGAGAAGTCCCGACTTTGCGCGATCGAAAAAATTCGGAGCGTTTTTCCGCGACCCAAAAAAATGATTTTTCTAACGATGGCTTATTCTCAACCAAATGTTTTCTTTTCTATTGTGCTGCAGAGATGTAAACACGTGGAGGAGGTGAGTAAGCGACAGAGTGAGTTGATCACGTCTCTGAATGAGATGATGGAGAGAAGAGAGAGGGAGCACAGAAGACAGGTGGATAGACTGAGAGAAGAGATGTACAGCACACACAAGGCCAAAAGTAGAGTCATCAGAGAGCCATCTCTTCATTATTATATTTGTTTAAACTTTCAAGATCTTGTTAACTATTCCCCCCCCCCTTTGGACCTTGTTAACTATCCCCCCCCCCTTTGGACCTTGTTAACTACCCCCCCCCCCCTTTGGACCTTGTTAACTATCCCCCTATGCATGTATTATTTTTGACAACCATTTCTGTACAAAATATGCATTTCAAAAATGTCAACAATTAATTGGGTTTTCATTTCCGCCCGTTCGTATATTTGTATTACTCACTATTTATATAATACCCACGTAAACAATTTTAAATGAATATATTTTCTGAAAATTGTTTTAAGCTATTGAAAATGTGGCCGCCAAAGTTGAATTTCTGAAAATCGAAATAGGGGGGGGGGAAGTTAACATGATCCCACTTTTAGAATCACTCTCTGATGAAAACATATCTAGGATTTCAACTGAGCCAAAAAATCAATTTTATGAAAAAGCATGGGTAAATGCTGAACAACTAGCACAATGTGTACCGAGCACAAAAATCATTTGATATTGGATACTAATTTTAAGTCAACTAACGGCCTAATTTGGTGAATGACCGTAAAAGACATGCATTGTCAGTAAAAAAATATGAAAACTAGAAATCTTTTTTTTCCTCTGTACAAGAATAACTTGTGGAGCTCAAATTACGACTAAACTGGCTCTTATATGATATCAAAAGCTCCAACTGGACTTTTGTTGCTCCAGAATTTGAGTGGAAAAAATTAATTTCAAAGTCAGCATCAACGTTTCCCGCATCCAGTTTCAAGCGTGAATAATCGATACTATTACGATTTAAATACCAGTCTTACTAAAATTGAGAAACAATCGATTTTAATCAATTCAATTAATAATCGATTATAATCACCCTTTTTAAGATCAAATTATATTTAATTATAATCCATTATAATAGATTATAATCGATACTTTTATTTATTCGTTCATTTTTTGATACAATTAGAATCAATTATAATTGATTAAAATCCATTATTTTTATTCAAATTTCTAATTTATTAGTTTTGCACAAAAATCCATTATAATCGATTGTAAATGATTATAATCCCTTTTGTTTGTCCATTTTGTCTTCGAAGCTGCATCTAAATTGCTTATATTTTATGCTTTTTGTAGACGTTGGTTCCTATGAAAACTGAGAAACATGTTTTTAAAATTTTCCAATCAATTCAATATTAAAAGGTTTTTTTTTCATTTCTTTCCCATTAGAGTTGTTTTGTGATGCATATTTTAGGCTTTTTAACCACCAAAAAACCAACAAATTGGTTAAGTTTCATGATTGATTTGGAAGATTTATTTTTCATCTACCGCTGGAATCTTTCCACTAATATGAAAGGATCTCTATGAAACTTTTGTTTCGAGGTAAAACTTGTGTTCAGATGAACCAAAGTGTTCAAGAGATCTCTCTTTTAGAGATTTTCTTATTGACACAAAAATAATAACCCATAAGATATAATTCGAATATAGTTTTGAATTGACAAATGTTTGGAAAAATAAGAGATTATAATCGATTATAATTGATTCTAAGGGTTTTTTGTAAGAACTATAATCAATTATAATTGATTATAAGAGATTATAATCTCATGGAAAATATCACGATTATAATCAATTATAAATCATTTAAACACGTAATTTTGGTAATTATAATCAATTATGACTGTCAAAAAGTCATCATAATAATCCGTTATAATCGATTATTTACGCCTACACTTGGAGGCGGGTTCGTTTTTCGTCAAAAAAATGCGTAAAAAAACTATTTCAAGAGTTCAAGATTCCATACCGTATTACAATTCTAAATTCAAACTATTTTCTTGTCCATATGCAGTTAGATTGGCATTTGATGGAGGATTTTTTTTTTTACAGTTGGTTGAAATTTTGACAGACTGAAAATGACACTTTTCAGGAAAAGTAGCCGACAGAGACGAGTCAAGATACTACAGCGACAACACTTACCACCCCTCTTCCGCCCCAACCGGACGACCCTTCATTGAAAGCATCGATATGAATCTGAAGCCCCTGCCTAGATTCCATCAGTCTTCCAAACCACCACCTCATCCTCACATACGACCCAGTCACAAGTACCCTTCACACTACGACAGCGCCGACAACTATCGCGGAACACGAGATCGCCGAAGTTTCAAACCCGACGCGATAGCACCGGGTCGCCACCGCGGTCGGTCGCCAGTGTTCGACTCGGATCATTTCAGTAGCGCAGACGAACGCGCGGGCGATGACTCAGAAGCGGAAAACGACTTTAAAAGAGACAAACTGAGAACTCGGAACAAACTGAATGGGATTGAAAATAAACTGATGGAGCTTAAGATTATGACTCAAGATATGTAGTAGTCTTGAAATAGTGGCGCAATTATAATAATGACTGCTAACAAAAACTGTTCGAATCAAGGCGAACCCAAGATTGTTCTGACTGCCCTTTAAGGTCTATGAAATAGTTTTTGATAAACTTGTTTTACAACATTTTACAACAAAAATTGATCCAATTTTTGATGAACATCTTTCTCTACAGACCAAGTGAAGTACTAAATTTGTAATTAGCGTCTATTTACAAATTATTAAGCTTGCAAAAGGCTTTCCTAAACTCAAGTATGTTTGTAACGATATCTGGCGTTAATTGTCCCATGCCTTACAAACCCCAAAAAAATGTTCACAGGTGAAACAAATTGTTGATCCAGAAGACGTCCAAAACTTTCAAATGCTAAAAACACCTGTGTTAAAAAGTGTCCATTCAAAAAGTGGAAATTTGTTCAGAAAAAAATAACAAACCCGAGCACAAATACTCTGTCACTTTCTTCGAAAGCTGGCATAATAAACAAAACAGCTCGTATCAGGGCCAGTCCCTGAATGTTTTATCAGCCGCTTAAAATCATGTAGTTTGAGTATGCTGACACAACCGTGTATGCCTCAGTTCAATGCAATTTGCCGCGCGATAATGATTTCAAACTGGCAAAATTGGCAATTTACAAACCCAAATAACTTGACAAACAAAAATCACAGGTAAGTATGATTTGAGTTTTTGGCTCAAAACATCAATACCTTTTCGAGGATATAAAAATTTTATCGAAAACGGCTAGTTAAAAGTCGGAATTTGTCTGAAGATTGAAAAAAGTCACCCCGAGCTCAAATACTCCGTCATTTTCTTCAAAAATTGGAACAACAAAAGATATAAAAAATAATTAATCAATCAAAATAATTAATAAGTACCCCAATTAATCAAGGCAAAGTATTAAATGTTCCGACCGCTCTCTGCTCCAATTGTTTTGTTTGAGAAAACTTTGATCAACTTTAAATTTTGTCTTATCAATAAGATTAACTTGACTCATTTCACTTCGACCCAAACTTGTGACGGGTATAGTAATTAGTGATACGCTTTCAACATCATAGCTAAGTTTTCAATTTATTACATGAAGAGTTTACATACGCTTTCGTTAGGTTAAGGGTTTAAAATGCCTAGAAAAAGCAGTTCCTTGTTCTCATTCTTTGAGCGCGAAACCAGGCGCTCTGCGCTTGCATAGCTTGGGCTGAACTAGCAGCAAGAATCACCCCCAATAAAGCATTATCCCATAATTGAACAAGAAAATTCTTCAAAATTTTATCAATGAATCATCGACAGAAATACTATCATAAATTGAATGAAAGAAAATCAATTACGAGTTTTTCAAATTTTATCAGGCCTCAGATTATTGAATGTGAATCATAACTTTACAATGGCAACTCGGATTTTCGATACTCAGGAAGAATTGAAACTAGGCTGTTGCAGAACAAACGTATGTAATTATAAAAACATAGGTAGTGAGTTCGATCACCGTCAAGAAAATTGAGAACTCCTGGTTTTACTTTGACTAAAAAACGGCTGAGAAAATCATGTAAAACCAAAATTGTCAGCATGGAGGAGTTTTTTCAAAAGAAACGGATGTTTTGCACTCCCAGCAAAAACAGATATCCTGTGTTTATTGAGCTCTCTCTCTCTCTCTCTCTCTATCTCTCTCTTTCTCTCTCTCTAGAAAGTTAGTATCTATAATTTTGCACTACAAAATCATTAATTTCGAGAAAACAGTCATATATTCGGAGAAGTCAGCAATATAGAACAGAATATCGCAGAATGATTAAAAATACCTTTTTTGATAAGTAGATGCAAGTATGCAAATAATAGAAACATTCAAGTTATAAGTATTCAAATAAGCAAAATTTGACGTTTTTGGGTTGTTTTTGAGTATTTTTGACCAAAAATTATAAATATTTTTTGGTGCGCGCTCCTCTCAAGTTTTGTATTTGTAGACGTCAATAGCTACTTAAGAATCAATAGCTACTAAACAAACTCTTTTACAGTGAAACATTAAATATCGAATCAGCGGATTTGGTATCGTCCATTATCTGTTTATTCCAATCAAGATCACCTAAAAGTCTCAGAAAAATCTGAAAAATATTTCCGGCCTTTAGCGAAATTTGACTTGTTGCTTTTGCTCGGATAAAAATAGTACCTTCTACCTTCTAAAAAGATAAAGTTTATTAGGCTTGAAATGTTTTGACCAAAACAGAAACTATTGTCCTGAATCAGGTCGGGGTCATTTTGGGTTGCTAATGTTAGATATATAAGATCTACTTCACAATTAACCCCCGTCAAGAAACAAGATAAGTAGGTTAATTTAATCAAATTTTCGATCAATCAGAATGCAGCTAAATTCGAATTTCATATAGAACACCCTAGTGCTATTTGGCTACTTTTTTTATAGGGTTGGCAATTAAGCAATACGTGATTTACGCATCCAAGACACAATGTCCATGAAATCAAAATTGATATGAAAGGATGCAAGCTTGGCAAGGAAACGAGAAAAAACCAAATATGCGAAATTGAGTTACGAGGATTGCTAAAAGTGTTTTTCTAATATTCTCAAAGCTATTGACTTCTTTTTGAAAAGGCAGTCAAAACATTAACTTCCGCTAAAAGCAAAAACAATTTGTTGAGTTTTGTTATGTTGCTGATTGATTCAACTTTTGGATCAACCGTACAATTCCCCCCTCAAATCGATTTAGAAGGGAGAATTTATGGATTTTGTGGGAAATAATTTTGACTTGTCCTTCAGTTTATAGAAAAACAACAGTTTATTTAGAGAAAATTGACAGTTTAGGGGGGAAGGGGGGGGGGGAGGGATTGTACGGTTGGTCTCATTTTTTGTAAACAAAGTTACTCTGAGAATACTAATTGCCTTTTATTTCATCCAAAAGCACATAATTGTCATACACAGGTCATCTAATAAATGAAATAAACGTTCAAGTTTTGATGTTGCTGGAGAACTTATGGGGTTAGGTCTTTTACCAGATCAACCTTCAACCAGATCGACCTTTCATCAGACATCAATGCAATAATTCAATTAACTTAAATTTAAATTAGTTGAACATTCGAAGAAAAAAAAGCGGTTAGAACATACAAAATTTCGCTGAAAAACTGTGAAATTATTGTCTTTAACCAGACAAAACGGCGTTAATACATCTTTGAATCAAACTTGTTTATCGAGTGTGGTAAAAGGTCCATGTTATAACTTTTCTGGTAAAAGGTCCCCAGAAATTATAAATTCCAATTTACTGAAACAATATTTTGAAGTACTATAGGTCAGACATAAGGCACCCTGAACTTGCTGTCATTGATTCTTCTAAAGTTTCACAGCGATGGATAAAAAGTTTCATATCATCAGTGATTTTGCATTAAACCATATAAAGTGAATTATATTGTTTGTTTTTCCTTTTTAGAAAAATCCAGTTTTAGATTTCAGTAAAATGGGTCATTAACACAGTGCCGAAGTACAACGGTGCAAAAAAAAATTAAGTTCAACAGTGCCGAAAATGAAAATTTTGTTCAACAGTGCCGAAAATTTGAAAATATTAAGTGCAGCAATCAAATATTAAACGGCGATCGTTTTCAATTTTCAATGACACTGTAAGAGTTTGAGCGAGAAATTTGCAACTTAGACGTTTTGGCGCCCAAATAGTTGTTTAATTTGCAGTTGCTGACAATTTGGCGCCAAAATTGGAGTGATTTTTTTTGTTAATTAAGTCATGTAACCAAATGTGGTGTAAGCGTACAAAAAAAAATTCAGTATTAGGCGACCAGAAGGCGAGCAGTTTTTGTTAAATGTGTCAATTAATAGTTACCTGTGATATTGCTTATATACAGGGGTGGATTTAGGGGAGGGGCGGGGGGGGGGGGGGGGGGGCGGACGCCCCTCTTCTCAGGGATTCGACCCCCTGCCGACCAAAGGGTCCCCCCTTTGGTACTTTTCAGAAATCCAGTTTTGGCCGACCAACCCTAAAATTTTTCGAAAAAAAAGGTTGACAAAAATTTCGGGCTCTTTTTCCTTCCCCCCCCCCCCACCTGCAAATTTTTATATTTGAAGTTACTGTTCACTTTGTCCGATTGTCGTGAAAACTGACATGCAGACTCATTAGGTCATAACAAGCATTTTTGGTCTTCATAATCAACCTTGTAAAACCACTCGTTAGACCATAAAATTCATGTTTGTGTGAGGTGGGGGGGGGAAGGAAAAAGAGCCAAATTTCGAAATTTTTTTGAAAATCCGCCCCCCCTCGAGAAAATCCTAGATCCGCCCCTGCTTATATACCCTGCTCTGTGATATCAACGATTCTTTACAGCTAAAATTTGCGAACTTAGATCTTAGTGGCCCTCTATCTGCAAAATAGTCTTTTATGTTTGAAATGCAGTTTTCACTTCGATTTTTATAGACATTATTGAAACAAGTCTGATTATTGGTACATTGAGACCAATCCAGATTCCAAAAAATGACCTTAAATTCTAGCTCTTATACGCATTGAGTTGTTTTAACTTGCCAGACGCATTATCTGTTCTCTTTTCTTCATACATCTATCAGTTTCAAAAATAACTCTTGATATAATTTGATATACATCGTGAAGTCAACGAAATTATGAAAGAACACGCTTGAAATTCAATTGACTGGAAATAAATTCAAATGATGCGTTTCCAGAATCATGATCAAATGTTCAAAAAAAAAGAATCGATTTTGTAACAGTTTGGTTTGAAAAGCTCCATAGCGCAATCAAGAATCCAGTTTGTTTACTTTGAAAGTTTGATTTGTTGTTTTGGTTTCCTCTGTGCGCTTATGGTTGTAATCTTCGGGAGTGTTTGCATGGCAAATAAATGGTTCAGAAGTGTTAACGAAAAAGTATAATCCTATTTCAGCGAGTCCTTCCCAGGTAAAGCTTTGCACCAATTACACGTTCGATCGGAAAAATGATGTCGTAAGAAAACCACGAAGGAACGCTTTTTAGCAAAAAAGCGATCGAGATATTAAGATGGGGCCTGAAACCTTTTTCTTCTTCGGCAGGCTATTAGTATCAAGGTATGAAGGTGCATCAAAAAATCGTTGAAAACTAAACGAAAAACTTTAGCCCAATTTTCGCGTTAAGAACATCAAAAAAGTAAAAATGGTTACATTGTGAAAACAATTCGGAATAGATTAA